TGAGTGCTGTTGGAAAAGTTTAATTGCTTGACTTGGTGGGTCTTTTGTGCTAATGCTGTCCAGCTTTTTGGCTTCAGCGATGGCGATTTTGGCTCCACTCGCTCGCTCTCTCGCTCTCTCGCTCGCTCACTCGCTGGCGGCAGTGCAGTCGGGCACACTTTACACACACTTCAGTGGAGCGTTTTTCAAAACTTTTTGGCGAACATTTAAAGAAACCCAAAGAGCGCAACAAAATGCACACACACATACACACACAGGCAAACAAAACGTGCCAAAGCAGGTCCGGCCAAATGCCCAACAACAACAACAACAACAACAACACGAACAACAATTGAAAATCAAAATAAAATAAAGGCAATGCACATACACATACATACATATATATGTATGTGTATAGGGGAAGGGACCTTGTACAGAGGCAATACCAGGCGAGCTAGAGGAAGAGAAGTTTAATATTAAAAACTAACAACTTGCAAATTTACATTGGGCAAAAAAACAGTGCGACGCGACGCGACGGCTGCATGTGAAAAATAGCAAAAGCTGCAATCGCAACAGCAACAAAAAAGCAGGAGAGAGAGAGGGAGAAGAGCGAACGAGTTGCAGAATGGCAAACAAAAACAACAACAACAACAACAACGACAATGAAAAGCACAAAAAGCAACAGCAATTATTCAACAATTTGTACGGCCGAAGTGCTTCAAACTTTTGCTTTAAATAATGTGTACGAAAATTGTTGAATATTGTTTTATTCCCTTCTTCTTCTTCTTTGCTCTATTTGTTTTCAACTCTGTTATTTATTTTGTTCTCTTTTTTTCTGATAAAAAAAATCCTTTTTTTTTTTTTTCTTTGCTGCGCCCGAAAACTATTGAAAATCTTTGCAGATCAGCTAGTAGTTGTGCTCTGGTTGAATAACAAAGAAGAAAAACTATGTGAAGTCAATTTTAGTTGCTGCTTCGGTATTTTCCTAAAATATGTACAAATTTTCTATTTTTTATCATTTGATGGGATTACAACTAGCGTTAAGCTTTGACAAAATAATATAAATTTTGTAGCAAATAGTAGCAAATATACCCTGTAAATCATGGAAGAAACAACAGATAGATAAAAAGTAAAATAAATATAAAATAAATATATTAAAAATATAAAATTAAAATATGAAATATAAAATGTAAAATATAAAATATAAAATATAAAATATAAAATATAAAATATAAAATATAAAATATAAAATATAAAATATAAAATATAAAATATAAAATATAAAATATAAAATATAACATATAAAATATAAAATATGAAATATAAAATATAAATTGTAAAATATAAAATATAAAATATAAAATAAAATATAAAATATAAAATATAAAATATAAAATATTAAATATTAAATATAAAATATAAAATATTAAATATTTATAGAGGATAACAGAAAGAAGAACACAGAATATAGAAGATAAAAGACAAAAGAGAAGACAGCATATAGAAGATGCTCTTTGACTCAGTCTCAATTAAAATACATTTGCATCAACTCATTTCTCACTGGGTCTTCTTCTCATATGAACTATCCAAAATCTGTGTTGGGCATTGGGCTAACAGGCTTGGGGTCCCAGCCCGCATCGGGTCTCGGCTGTCACTCATTTGTTGCTTTGTATTTCATGGCCCATTACACGCTGCGATCGTTCAGGGTCTAAGCTGTTGGGCTTGCTAAACCAACTCGTTTGTTTACCTGCTGCTCAGCAGTCCCTGTCCATGTTTCTGTCCACTTTCTCGTTTACAGATTTCGCCAGGGCTTTAGCACAAACTTTGTCCGGCAGGGCACTGATTTTGTTTTTCTTCTAAAATATGAGCTCGAATTGTGCACACACAGGCACACAAAGCCAATCAGTTTGCCAAGCACACATACACGCTCGGGGCAGTGAGGGAGCTATGGGAGGCCCGAGTAGCTGAAGGTCTGATGTGTGTGTGTGTGTGTGTGTGTGTGCACAAATTTGTGCAAAGTTTTATATTTTCTTGCTGGCAAATTTTTGGACAGCGTAAGAAGCAAGAGAAAAAAAAGCATGTAAATTGTAAAACCCACAAGCAGCACAATGTGTGTACGTGTGCGTATGTGTTTAGGATAAAAGAGTGTGTGTGCCACCCACACACGCCCACACACATGCACACACAGTTACAGTAGCATCGCACATATGTCTCGGGACTTGCTCTTTCGGGCGTGACACTGAAGGTGTATTTGTCAAATGTGCACTCATTTTGTTGAAAAATTGAAGTCTATGCATGACTGCTCCACTGCTCTGTCTATGTGTGAGTAAGTGCGTGTGTATGTGTGTGAGTGTAGGCGTTTGGCTAAGCTATGCCAAAGCGAGAATCCTTTTAGTGTCTGTGCAGATTTTCCAAGATTTCCGGTCACTTCACTAATAAGTTTTACAATGTTTAGCATAGAAAAATGTGTTGACACAACGCCTGCAATCCGAGTATGTATGTGCGTGTGTGTATGTGTGTGTGTGTATGTGTTTGTGTGTGTGTACAAGCATGCTTAATTTAATTTCCATTGTCATATGTACACAACAAATTGCCATAGAGCCCAGCTCATGTTTGTCTTTAGCTTTGTGCCCCAGTTCCAGTTCCAGTTAAAGTTCCCATTCCCGTTCCCGTTCCCGTTCCGTGCTCCCTTTATCATTCGTGCGTCTCTTTTTTGCCGTAAAGCCATTATTCTCAACGCCATCAGGCTTAGCAGCTCACAAATTGTCATAAATGTTTGTATGCGTTAGCTAAAGAGCGTTTCCGTTTTACCATGAACTAAGGCTGAGCTACTGACAACATTGCATCATTTTGGCCAAGTTATTAAATGAAACTTTTGAATTATTGCAATGCCTTGAAATTCCCAACAAGTTTAAGCAAGGATTGGAAATATGTAAATTCTAAATCTGAATTAAGTCTGAATCTGAATTTCATTGAGTATTGAGATACTTATATTTATAGAAATATATATAGAATTATATTTACAGAAATATAGATTAGAAATTTATAATAGTATAATCCATATGTATATAGATTTAACCCATTTCATTTCTGTGAAATTCCAATCTATTGCTATGTCGCCTGATATATCATAGTATATAATCTTACTACCTTTATGAATATAGACTTAAAATATATCATATCTGCAAAATTCTCGCCTGATAATGTATAATCTTATACATATATACCCCATCTATCTATATGTATGTAGACTTCACCCTTTTCATTTCCGCTGTACTCCTCCAGCTATCCATTGCTGTTTTGCCTCTCGTTTCTTTGTCCTCTGCAGCCTGGGCGTGACAATTACATCAAGTGCGAGAAGTGCACAACTTGGTTAATTGACTAACACCTGGCAGGTGTGTGATCAAAGGTGAGCACTGGAAATGTGCACTGCCAATGTCAGCCCGAAATTGCAACTTGTGCAGAGAAGCTGTGCTGAAAAAAGTGAATGGCAGGACGGCAGGACGGCAGGACGACAGGATGGCAGTGTGTGGTAGATGTAGAAGCTATGCAATTTAAATTCCATCACATATCCTCAATATCTGTCTACAACATATTTGCATAAAAAAATTGAAGGGAAACCTAACAATTATCACAAATAATTTTAAATAGATTCAAATTTATTGCATGACTCTTAGTGGAAGGCTTTTAATATTCGTTCACCTCTCGCTGTTCTGCATTTGTTTTGCTTTTCTGCCAGCCGACATTGTTAGCTTAGGTTGCAGCCAGTGCATAAATTTCAGCATCCCAAATACTAAATAAAAAAAAAAAGGCGTTGCATAAATCTTTGCTGCAGCAGCCACATTTAATTACAAAAGTTTTTCACAATTTCGGACGATACTCCTCTCTCTCTCTCTCTCTCTCTCTCTCTCTCTCTTTGCTCTCTCCTTATAGTTTGGCAACAGCCTTAAATCAGCGGTATTTTGTGCCCAAAAATTATGACCCACACACATGCACACACACACACACACATACACACACCACACCCTCACACCCGCTGGAAACGCTTTGGGCGCATTCACAGTTTACAGCGTCCTGGACTTTTATTGGCTGCCAAATGGGCGACACTTGGCTACTTGTCCACTTGGCCAGTTGCTCAAGCCTCGTCCCGTCTGTCGTGCTGTCCGGTGGGGCCAGCTTGGCCGGTTTGGCCTGACAGTTCCTGGCGCAGCCATAAAGGGTACTTTTGTGCTTTTTTTCTTGCTTTTTTTTTTTTTTTTTTTTTTTTTTGTTGTTAACCGCTTGAAGCGTTGCCCCGAAATCAGTTAACAGGCAATTTCAACTATTTTACAGGCTGTGTTCGGCATGCCAAATGACCGAAGCCAAATGTCAATACCATCAACATGCTGAACGGACCGAGAGTCATGAAATAACCAACAGCCATGTGCCATGCCATGGCATACCATGGGCGGGTCAGCCATCGAACAGCATCGATAACAGCAAATTCACTTTAAGTTGACTCTTTTCCTGCACAGTTTTTCTTGTTCTTTTCTTTTACCAATTTAAGCGTTTGGGTTTGCCAAATGATTTGGTATTTTTTAAATACCAGCAAAGCAAACGGTATATTATAATGCATAGGCTAAATATCTGTATATTTTTTGAATATTTTCATTCAAGTATAATATAAGCAGCATTAAAAGTAATATTAGGTTTACGCCTAATTTCTTTAGCCTGTGCAATATTTCAAACGCAATGGCTTTCATCCATTAGTTCAATTCTCCCATAATATCTCGACCTGACGACTACTGAGACTACTTCTACATGTTGTTTTCTTTTAAATGGATCGTCACATATTTTCTTGGAAAGCAAACAAATAGTGATTACCCGGAACTATAATGCAAATTATTGAATTATTTGAAGTGTTGACTATTTGTCTTTCTGTTTAACATTGTTTTCATATTTTCTGAAGCTCCCACAGCTCGACAAACAAATTTACTTAATTTGCTGCTGCAAGAAATGTGGCCCACTCACTGATAAGAACGTCGACGCTTGGCTATAAAAAGAGCTCGACCGATCGAGCTCTACATTCACTTTAAAATCTAAACACATTACACTGAAATGCATACAATGAGAGTTTGTGAGTTGGCAGTCGTCTCCTCTCTGCCAGCCCGGCATTTCCTTAACAAGCGATCCTTTCCTTATCCTTGCAGATAACATGAAATTGTTCATGGTTGTGATTGCATTGTTTGCGCTGGCTGGTTCCAGTGAGGGACAAGCACCGCCGTGCGATGGGTCGGAGACAACACAGCCACCTTGTACTACAACTGATACACCCTGTACGACAACACAGCCACCCTGTACGACAACAGAGCTACCCTGTACAATAACAGAGCCACCCTGTACAACAACGCCCCCTTGTACAACACCACCCTGTACTACAACACCACTCTGTACAACAACGCCACCCTGTACTACAACGCCACCCTGTACAACAATGTCAACCTGTACAACACCACCTTGTACAACCACTGAGCCGCCCTGTACAACAAAGCCTCCTTGTACAACAACGCCACCCTGTACTACAACACCACCCTGTACAACAACGCCCCCTTGTACAACGTCAGCCTGTACTACAACGCCACCCTGTACAACACCACCTTGTACAACCACTGAGCCGCCCTGTACAACAAAGCCTCCTTGTACAACAACGCCACCCTGTACTACAACACCACCCTGTACAACAACGCCACCTTGTACTACAACCCCACCCTGTACAACAACGCCACCCTGTACAACAACGCCACTCTGTACGACAACAGAGCTACCCTGTATAATAACAGAGCCACCCTGTACAACAACGCCCCCTTGTACAACAACGCCACCCCTGTACAACAACGCCACCCTGTACAACAACGCCACCCTGTACAACAACGCCACTCTGTACAACAACGCCACCCTGTACTACAACGCCACCCTGTACTACAACGCCACCCTGTACAACAACGCCACCCTGTACTACAACGCCCCCTTGTACAACGTCAGCCTGTACAACAACGCCACCCTGTACAACAACGCCACCCTGTACAACAACGCCTCCATGTACAACAACTCCACCCTGTACAACAACGCCCCCTTGTACAACAACGCCACCCTGTACAACAACGTCCCCTTGTACAACGTCAGCCTGTACTACAACGCCACCCTGTACAACAACGTCACCCTGTACAGCTACGCCACCCTGTACAACAACGTCACCCTGTACAACAACACCTTGTACAACCACTGAGCCGCCCTGTACAACAACAGAGTGCACAGATACAATTGTAACAATTAGTCTTGCCAAGCCCCGCTGTAAATGCCCCTCTGGCCTAGGCGATTGCGACTGCGCCGCGTTAGAAGACGCCGCAACCCTGGTATCGGCATTCGACTGCCGTGGAATGAGGGATGGCACGATCCTAACGGATCCCAGGCACTGCCGCAGATATTACGTGTGTCGCAATAACCGGGCCAGACGCCAGACCTGTGCCGCTGGCCAGTGGTTCGACCGCAGGGCCAAGATCTGCCTCAATCGCGCGCTGGTGACAAACTGTTTGCTGAGCCGCAACTGAGAGCTGGACACACCTTGTGCTCGTATACATTAATACAAACATTTTTTTTCCCTTTATTGAATAAAGTATATAAATGCAGCAATAATTCGCTTCTTTAAAAAAAATAGCAACTTCGAGCTGAGCTTCGTAGCTAGACGCTGATAAATAGTTTCTCGTTCCGTCGTCTATTAATGTCGTTTTGTTAATAGAAATCCTGGTCTAAGCTGACGATTAAGCTGTCTCGACTGCCAGAAGCGTCTTCGCCAAGGCCCAACGGACGGTTTTTCACGCTCGGCCCGTCACGAGCTGCCATCAATTTTCGGCCCTTAACTGAGCAAAAAACGTTGAAGCTGTGAAGAACTTTCAATCAGGCAACAACAACAAATGGCTAAGGCAACGGCAAAGGCAAAACAAGGCAATAAATTTGTCAACACTTTAGGCCAATAACCGCGAGCACAATCTGAATGTAACTATAACTTTGTCTGTCACCCCTGACCCTCTGGGGGCAAAAGGGGCATGGGTAGTGCGAAGTGGGTAGTGGGTAGTGGGAATCGAAATTTGAGTCGAAGCTGGAGCTGGAGCTGGAATCGGAATAAGAATCACTTGGGATTCGTGTAACATGCGCTGCAAAGTTTGCACCAGCTCTGTGGGATTTGGTATTTATAGAGAAAAAAGCATCAGCTTTTGGGGCGCCACAGAGCGGCATTTGTGAATTGTTGCATCTGGCGTTATAATATTGTGCTTTTCTTTACCATACCCTGTAATCATAGAATTGAGAAAGGGTATATATACAGGCAAAGGGTGTTTGTTTCATGAACTTATTATTATTATTATTCATTAAAGCCTTTTCACTTTTTGCCTCATGTTTAGACGAAATATCATATATTTATATTTATATCCTTATATACTTAAGCCCGATTTCATATAGAAGACCTTTAACAGTTCATATAAGGGGTCTCATTAATTAACTGCTCTAGTTTACTAGCAAGAACTGAAATGTTTACTATGTCCTTATCTCTCTCTCCCTGTCGATCGCTCGTCTGTCTCTCTCTCTCTCTCTCTCTCTCTCTCTCTCTCTCCTCTCTCGCTGTCTCTGTCTCTCTCCCTCCGACTCTTTTTCTGTCACAATCGGTCTGTCTATTTTTATCGCTTTATCTCTCTCTCTCTCACTTAACATTTCGTTCTTATAATAATATTGTCTCGACCTCTTCCTCCCTCTCTCTCTCCCTTCTTCTCTCTCCCTCCCTCTCTCTCTCTCCCTCTCTCTCTCTCGTTATCCCCCATGCACACTGGGTATATCCTAGTCGGGCATTCTCTTTCTATTTAACATGCACAGACACGCACACTTGCACACATTTACTCGAGAGAATAAGAGCTTTAGTGAGACATCTAGCGTGATTTGTGCATTTTGGTATCAATTTGGAAATACGGTAAGTTCCCTAACTCCCTCTCACTCTGTCTCCATTTACTCTGTCTCTCTCTCTCTATCACTCTCTCTCCCTTGCTCACACACATGCTGTAAAACGACTTCAAAATGCAGCAGGCATTATCGTATTTCCGCTTGTGCATTATTATTTTTGCGTCTGCCTGTCGATTTTTGCTTTTGTTACGCTTTCGCTTCGCTTGTTTGCGGCATTTTGCATTTTTGTGGGTCACAAACACAAATCAAAAGCACTGCACCACCCTGCACCACACGCCGCGCACTTCACACACCGTGCCGAGTTGTATCATATTTCACAAGGGCATTCGACGCTCCTACTTTTGCCGCCTCTACTGCTGCTGCTGCTGCTACTGTTGCTGTTGCTCTGGCATTGCCCATGTTTCCTTCCAGTCCCGGCCATTGGCAGCGCAGTCTTTTTCCTGTCCTTTTCCATTACCGAAAAAAAAGCAACAACAACCGCAGCTTCAGCCAGAGACGATGCAGCCCAGCCACACGGCTCTCCGGCTCCACTCGATTCTGGTTGAGGACATTGCAAAAAAAAAAAAATGGAAAAAATGGAATAAAAATGCATAAAATTCCGCGAATACTAGCTTTAAATACAACAACAACTACAACAATTTTAACTGGTATTAAGCTTGTTTGCCACATAAAATATTCGACGTCCTACTTCCAAGCGTCAAGGCTGGCTACATAAAACCCTAAATAGACATAAACGGATTCAGTGAGCAAACAAAGTTAAGTCCTTGCAAATGTAAATGTCGCTAGCGCGTATCAGCTCTGATATATGAGAAGAAACACTTGCTCTCAAATTATGGCTAATTGAATTTAGCAACTCAAATTGAAATACATAATACAAACAATCTGAATAATATCTACGATTTCTATGTAATATCAGTAATTCTTTGTATTGATAAACAATACAAAATGTTCCAGGGGTAATAAAATTCGCAATCGATAGCTTTTGAATTAAGTAATTAATTATTAATTTATTAAATAATAATAAGTTAACAAAAAAAAAAATAATAATAATAATAACTCTAGGAATCAATTTATTTTGAATTACATTTTATTCACATATTAAAACATAATAATATATATCAATGAAAACTGGGTTTATAACATTTAAACATATTTTTAAACATATAATTTGCAATCGATAGCTGTTGAATTTACTTATTAATTATTAAGTTATTAACTAAAAATACGATTTAATTTGAATTACAATTTATTCACATATTCAAAAAATAATAATAATAATAGAAATAATGATATATTAAAAAAAATAAAATAAAAAAAAAAATAAAAAAAATAAACATAAGAAGGTTTTATAATATTTACACATATCATTTATTTCAATTGTATTTCTACTGTGATTCAATAAATGCCAGAAATAGAAAAAAATTACTATGATATCGATATTTATTGATATAAATTTAATCTTCATTCACTAAAATTAAGCTCTTTGAATTTCTTTGTGCTTATTATAAATTTTATTTATTTTGTTGTTTGTTGATATTTTGTTTTGTTCGGTATGTGTTTATATTGTTATTAATAGTATTCTGTTACATGATGTGGGCATGATATTAATCTTGCTGATAATTACAAATGTTGTTTCTAATAAATTCGTTTTTTTTTTCTCTCTCTCTTTTTTGTGTTTATTGTTGCTTTACAACTTGTGTCGATTTTTAACACGCCCGCAAGCGAATCCCTGGGGCTGATACCGTTGTTTTTCTGTTTGACTAATATTCGATTAAATACTCTGTATTTGGCTACTCGAAAGTGAAATGAGTCTATTGTTTTTTTGCAAAGCTCGTCTGGATTTACGTCCTTCTGTCCGTATATATACATACCGAATATATATGTATATATATATATACTATATCAACTTGACTTGAAATTTGAAACACTTGTATGCCCTAGAATTATAAAGAGACAAGAATTTCTCAAACCGACCACTAGGGGCTTGGTCAATTGGAAAATGCATATTCCGATATGTCAGAGAGTTGAAATTTGAAATGAATATACGCCCATTTTTAGTGTGGCAAATCGGCAACAACTGTATTTTCAAATCAAAAATTGACTAAACAAAAAATTGATCTTTCAACCTTTGGTGCCGCGACAGAGCATCCTGCAGTCGATAACACCCGACTAGACTAAAGGGTATCTGCCAGACTGTTAGCCTAGACGAACATAATTTTTTTTTTTTTTTTTTTTTTTGTAGTTGACAATAAATGTTTATTTCGATTGTGGTTAAGTTGAAAAAAAATTATTTGCTTTGTTTTTTTTTTTATACATTGGACGCCTCGTTAGTGTTGGAAAATGTCGAACGAGCAGACAGAACAACAAATAGGCTGCGTGTTGGCGGCAGGCAACAAATGCAGTCGCAGTCGCCCGCAGCCACAGAACAACAATTAAATATAATTGGTACGTGAATTATGACACTTACCTTTAATCAGTGCACTTAACAAGTGGCGTTAATCATACGCCATGTTGCCCCGAAGGCTGTCGCCTGTATTTGGCTCGCTTTTTCAGTTGTGTCTTTTGTATCAATTATATATACACACACACATATAAATATATTATTATTATTTTTTTAAAATTTATTTATTATATTTGCATTTAATTTAATTTCTGCAGCTGTTTGTGATTACTTCAACTCACTTTCAATCAATTGTTGATCTCTGTATTCATTTATCTGCATATATAAATATGTGTATATGTTTTTTAATGTGTCCACAGCAACAACAGCAGAAGAAGCGAATGTTTCGCATTTTTAATTAACCACTTTAATGTAATTACACCAGCAGAAAAAAAATAAAAATTATATTAAAAAAAATATTTAAAAAATGAAAATTAAAAATAAATCAAGAGAATATGCAAGATATTCAACGTGTGAATTTGAAGCATTCGCGGCTAATTGTGTTCAATTAATTTATGCGCATTAAAATGTCTTTATCAGCAGCATATCGTGAGTGAACGGGCTCATAAATCCATGTTTACAAACAGATGTCAGTATAAATATCATATAGACATATACACATACTTCATATTTTGATTGAGTGCACGATTGTGTTATGGTAACATTAAAATGCTCATGAAATTTATATGAACAATTTTATTGAAATGTTTTTCGTAAGCTTTTTTGTGCCTTGAAATTGGATTTATTATTGTTAATATACAATTTTATTAATAAATATTGTTTGTGAATACATATGAAATATCTATATATGTAAAGAAACAGTATGTCTACACTAGATATACCCCATATATATATATATATATATATATATATATATATATATATATATATATATATATATATATATATATATATACATATATGTTTATTTATTTTAATATAACCCATTGTGAATGCGTTCACGAACAGCGTGAGCGAGCATGGCAGAGAAACCTAATAAGCGAACAAATGCCAGCCGAGTTTATAATGGTTCCCCGCGGTTCAAATATTTTTGGCAGATTGTGCGCTGAATTTTTAATTACAAATGAAAATTTCTAGACTGTAACTAACTTGAAATGAAGCACTTGCATTTACACACAGCCCACACCACCCAACCACCCAACCAACCACCCACCCACACTCACATACACACAGCAAAGGGTTGTAAAGGACATGGCGCGCTTTAATGGGTTTCCAGTGCACTCTAACGATCTGGCAACTCTGCCAATGTCAGGCAGCCAGGCAGGCAAACAGCGGCACAGTTATTTTCCATTATTAATTAATGCGACGCACTGCTCAGCCAGATAGCAGACAACATTTTCACATACGCTCTCACACACACACACACACACACATTCACAGTCGGCGAGTAAAAGTTTTGCGCCATTTGCAAGTGAAAGTTGCACGTAAGTAAAATAGTTTTGTGTAGCAATTGAAAAACGCTCAGCGAACTTTCCACAGCAACAGTTCATTTTCGATCCACAGCGGTGTCGCCGCCGCCTCAAAAAAAAAAAAAAAAAAAAAAAAAAAAGAGGGCAACTTCTGCCATTTCGCTCGATTTGTAAATAGTTTTTTAATTTCATTTTTCTTTTCACGCTTTTCCCCTACTTTTTTTATAGTAGTTCCAAAATATGCTTGGTCTCGCAAACAGCTGAATTCAATTAGAAAAAACTAGCTGCGCACTGGTGAACTAGTTCCGAATAGTGAAATTTCGGTGAACTATGACAGCTCGCAGTGCTAAAATATATATATATGTCTTTATATGTATGTATCTATATTATGATGTTAATATGCCATTCAATATTATCTATATTTATACACATTTAATTCTTTAAAATAAATTTCAAATTATTGTATTAAATTCAAATTCTTAGAAGCCAAAATATAATTTATGCTGTTTTTAATTTCTTAAATTTAATTCTATAATATTTTGTTGATCAGCTTTAATAATAATTAAAGTACTTCTATAAATATTTTTTAGAATTAGTGTGATTTAAATTTTTAAGTACTTTAAAACAATTTGCTTTCGGATTTTCAGATTTTTCATTTTATTTTATTTTAATTTATTATTATTTTTTTTTTTTTTTTAATTTTAAGAATATATTACTCATTGTTTTTTTATGTGCAGATATTTTTCATTCTTAAATTAATTTAATACCCTAGATTAAAAGAGCTTGTGATTAGAGATATATAATGATTGGAAAATCAGCTCTACCTAAACCTACGGATATCTCATAGTCGCGCAGTCCCGACTGCATAAAAATATTTGTATTTTTGTTTAGAGCAGCTCAGCTTATTATATCTTCTAATCAATCTCTAACCAGACCTGGATTAAGGTTAAATCAGAATGTATTTTGAACGCTACATACATATTGCCTATTATCTCGTAATATGCTATATCTATATATGTATGTCCTTAGTTTTGGAATTACATTCATTACTAATTAAGTTCTCATTTAGATGTCGACTTAAGTCTGGGCTTGAAGCTACTTTTGTGATTTATCATGTTTCTAGTTTGTGTCTTTATGCCCAAAGATCTTGAGCTACTACTTCAACTCAATGGATTTCTTTTTAAGTCTTTATGTATGCTTAGAACTAAAGCTACTTCTCCAACTTTTAAGATCTGAGCACAATGGCAAAAAATTTACATTTCAGCTGATGATTCAGCTTCTCAAGTTTCTAGATCCTTGAAGTTGTGTCAAGTATATAAACACTTGTCGCATAAATTAGCACGCACTGTGTGTCTAACCTTGAAATGTTATGCGTGTGTATGTGTGTGTGTGTGTGTGAGTGTATAGAAGTTTGCCTTTAGTCTTCTCGCTTAGGAAATCGCCAGTTCCATTTTGATGATGTTAAAGCTGATGCTAAGCATTCGGCGAACGATGTCATCGTTGAAATTGAAAGGCGCTGAGATCTTAAGTGGTTTATTCAAGAGGCGGCCAAGAATAGAGGCGTGGCCGGGGGGCTGGCGGGACAGACTGTCAGCACAAGCAGCTGACATAAAGGGCAAACGAAAAGTGAAAGTGAACAAAAACGAAAAAAGAAAAAAAAAAATGAATAAAATAAATAAAAATAAGAAGCAGTAGAAGAAGAACGAAAATGTTGCTTTACACCTTCGCACGAGCCAAGCGGCAAAACTAAGCAACAGAAACTAAGCACAACGTCGAGAAGAAGCGTAATAAATACAAATCATATAAAAGCAGCAACAACAAGCGAGCATAAACAACAAATTACAGCCGCTGTTGTTGTTGTTGCCAAACATACAAGTACATATAAATTCTTTGGCAATTTATTATTAGACAGAAGAAAAAAAAAAAAAAAAAAAACAGGCGCCGAGGCCGTGCGACAGCATGAGACAGAGACAGAGCGAGAGATAGAGAGCGAGAGAATGAGAGAGGGCAACATACAGGTTAACATGCCTGGCTGAATACCCTAGGCAAGCAGAATTTTATAAACATGTCACAAATTTTTCTGAATATGGCCATAGCTTCTTAGCCATGACTTTATATACATATTGAAATATATATATTTATATTTATATTATATATATTTCCATTAAAGAGCATCCAAAGAGGCTGCAATTGCTGCTGGCAAGGGTATTTGATCTTCGATAGAGACACGAGACACATAAATTGCTCTTGTCAACCCATCTGCAAGGCGCACGGCACACACGGCGAACAGCTTACTGAGAGAGAGAGAGTGAGTGACAGAGAGAGGGAGAGAGAGAGAGAATGATATAGAGTGAGAGGAAAAGTAAAATATTTGCCATGTTATTATTATTATTATTATTTTAGAGAAACAATATGATATAGTATACGTTTATATAGTGAACAGAATGGCGCTTGTATCAAACAGACACACACACACATACACACAACGTCGCACACACACACACAAACACTCGCTGCAGACACGCGCGCCATATGCTGAAAGTTCGAGCGTCGCAGCGTCTCTTGCGGCGATTGGCGTTTGCCTAGTCAATATTTCATTTGGCACTTGAACCAAATACTTTTAGTTCGCTGTCGCAGCGCAGACGAAGGTTGCTGCAGATGTTGTCGCTGAAGCTGACGCCGAAGCCAACGTCGACGTCGACGTCGACGCCGATGCTGTCGCTAATGTCGACGTCAAGACGCGAGCAGAGGACAGGCGACAGCGCAAAACTTTTAGTCATGAGCAACTACAAGATTCATATCTGCTTATGTATATCACAAATACACACACACACACACACACACACACACACAGTAATTGATTTGTGTTTATATTTGGCTAATTTAGCCGCTGACTCGCCTGCAGCAGCTAATTTTGAGGTCGCAACACAGCATGGCGTATGCGTAATTTTTTTTTTTTTTTTTTTTTTCCTATTCCGGAACTTGAGCGCAAAAGTCAAGCGGAAAATTGTTGAAAACAATGTTTGTTTACATAGGCCTATGAGGACTACATTCAAGCAGTTTCTTTAGCAAGCAAAAAATTGTCATTGGGATGCAAAAGCAAAGTTAAATATTTTGAACAGTTTCTAATGATTATAATTAATTGAGATTGTCGAGTAATCAAAAATATTTTACAATTTATCGATATCATAAAATGCCGTATAAGGAAAGTAAAATATATGGAGAATAAAATAAATTCATATATTAATAAAAATAATTTCTAACAGCACAGCAAGCTAGATTTATTACATAACGCTCTTCTATGCAATTCTCATATTGATAATTTATCTTTAAAGTATTTCATTAGTAGTACTTTATTTCGAAAGAAGAGTGGAGGAGTGAATTATTAAAAAATAAATAAATAAAATAAAATATTACTAAATATAGCTCTTCCATGCGATTCTCATAGTAACAAACTATTATGGCATTAGCATAATTCTAGCTACATAGCATTTAATTTATTGACAGTTTTAATAAAGATCAACTTCCTACGCGATTTTCTTTCTAAAGAATTATTTTTAAAGCATTTTGGCGTGTTTCCATTCGAAAACTGGCAGATAAATAATAATAGGAATAGGCCATCGATAATTTCTTAGCTATACAGCAAGCAGTTTGAAATATCGCTCTTCAATGCGATTTTCACAGAAATTTAAAAGTACTTTTATGTATTCCATTCCGAGAAGTGGCACATAAATTGTATATTTGCTAAGCCCTAGCATACGAAAGCTTGGCTGACACATTTTAGCCAAAAAGCAAACGAACTGAATTAAATTCCGTTCCATGAAAACCTAGAGTGTTTGATTTATT